AATAAATACTAAATACAAAAAAAAAAAAAAAACAAAACTAAATATGAAGAAGCAACAGTTCCAAATTTATTAAATTACAATATTTCAATTTGTGGAAACTTTTTGGAAATTAAATAAAACAGTAAGCTTGAATTTTTCCACTAAATGCGATAAAAAGCATAGCGAAAAATTTTTGTTGCCGAAAAAAGAGCGAATATTTAGGAACTCACTGAGTTATTCAAATTTCATAAAATCTAAGTACTAATTTAAATTGATTCCTTATTGTTTGAATTAATTGAATTCCACAAATCCATCATTTTTCTTCTCTTCTTTTTTTTTTCTTCAAAAACAAAACACAACGAAATGTATGACAACTCTAAAATAATTATGAAATTTCACTTATAGAACATATTTAAATATTTAAAATGAAAGAAATGGTTCAAATTTTAATCGATAAGCACATAAGTGATAAGAAATGATAATCTCCAGTATGCAAAAGACATATTCAGAATGCATTAGTTAAGTCGAAACAAATTTATGGAGGAAAAAACGTACTCAACGTTATCAATTATATTTATTAATTATTAATTACAATTTTTGACTTTTTTTCTTCGCCTTTTCCCTCGTTTTCATTTCATTTTTCATGAGTTAATAACAATGATGATGGTGATGATGAGAATAATAATAATAATAATAACAATAATAATAATAATAATAATAATAATAATAATAATAATAATAATAATAATAATAATAATAATAATAATAATAATAATAGTTTCGTGAACCGTTTAGGATACATAAATGTAGATAATTTTATTTCAGAAACGAAACATTATTCATTACATGCTAAACTACCATATAGTGTTGAAGTTGAAAAGTTGTACCAGGATGATGCGGTATGGATCACAACTAGCAGTTTCATCATTTTCACCATGCATTCTGGTGAACACTTCTTCATGTCAAAATCATTAAATTGTTGATTTTCTCGTAAATTTTTATAGATTTGAATTGATTTTTAACAAATTATAATGTAACAAACTATAATATAAATTATAATAAAAAGCACTAATATTATTTTAAATTTTATGTGCGATATAAATTTGCTTCAAAAATATTTTCAAATTTTGAGCTTTAATATTGCATTGTAAATGTTGGATAAATAGAATTAATATTAAAATTGAAAAAAATGGAAGTTTTGAAAACTTTGGATGAAAATGGGTTTCCAGCCAAAAGTGAAATTTGTGAAAAGTTTGAAATTTTTGAAGTTTAGCTGAAGAATCTCTTTCCTCTTACAGGTTTTGGCTTATTAGAAAGTGGTAGTGTCGCAGCAAAGGATGAGGTGAACATTATGGTAAAGAATGTTGTCGATGTGGTCTTCGGTGGATTAGCCTATTGGGCCTTCGGTTATGGACTTAGTTTTGGTAATGGAGCCTACAGTAATGCTATCACAGGATGGGGCAAATTTTTTTATAATCCCCAAAGGTGTGCTATTTTGCAATATTTAAATTTAATTTCCATAAAATTAAATTCTTTGTACACGGTAAGCTATGGCTAATAAAAATGCTCAAAAGATATTTGAAAATTTAAGGAAATTCAAAAATTGATGAATAAATTCATTTTTAATCAATTATGCTCCTTTAACTTCAAAATGAACTTCCTAAACTTGATAGAACTGCTAAATTAAACATGCTAAAATGTCTGAAGTGAGGATCGCATCGAAATTATCTTTATTTATTTTTATTTTTATTTTTAATCACTGATAAATATTTTTAATCACTGATAAAACGATTTATAGGACAAGTAAAACTTTTCATTTTCATTTTGCCATCAAAATGTCTGGCTTTTATTTTAAAGAGGAAAATTTCTTTATCGAATTTTATGTAATCAAATTTTTGAACTTTAATTAATAAGCATTCCAAACTTGATATCTAATCGTTTAATTTGCCATTTAAAAGTTTTCATTTCTATTAATTACTTAAGATTCTTTGTTCTATTTTATTTTTCTTAATATTTGCTAAAGCATATCTTTCAATGAATAACACAACATATCATTTCATCTTATTTATCACTTATTGAATTCTTACAACTTTTATTGCTAACTAAAAGATTGAAAGGAATTGTTAATTGAAGTAAAAAATTTGAAATTTGAAAATAAAAATTTCCCTTTTCCTAATGAATAACTCTTGAATTTGATCAATTTTTGATACAACTAAGAATGAATTGTTTTAGGGATAATTAATGAAATGCATTTGTTATTCAATATTTTAATCATTTAATTTGTCACTTAAAAATCCACGAATAGTCTTGTGATAAATAGTAAATAATCTAATCGGTATCTCAGGTAAGAGGATGAAAGGGAAAAGCGAAGTTGACGAAGTAAAAGTGACATTACATGTTAAGATATGAAAATTTTTTAACTGAACATTAAATTTTTAAAAATTTTTTTCAAAACTTAGCATGGCATTATTGATTAAAAGATATTTTATGATATAGAAAAAATGAAGAAAGTAATCAATCAGTTATCAGAATTTCAAAAAGCCCTATAAGTTAATATTCTTACTTCTATTTCACATCAGTTATCTTCTCATCATTCTTTCCCCTCTCATCTGATAAGAAAAATCTTTAATGCAAATTTATCAATTTTAGGGACTTTGATTCCCCACGTGATGAAGGCTGGGCCTATGCAAATTTTTTATTTCAACTTAGTTTTGCAACAACCTCATCAACAATTGTTTCTGGTAAGAAACTTTATGGATGTTGTATCTCTTTCTTTTTTTTTATTAAATTCTGTACAGAAATTCATGAATTTATAGTGTTAAAATTAATAATAACTTAATTTAAATGAGAATTTAAATTATAATTTTGCTTAAAATTAAGAAAACTACGAATATTTTTTCTTATGTAGATTGAGTAAATCTTTCCTCTTTTTGTTTTTAAATTTAATAAACAAAATGATTCTTCCCTTCCATTAAATTTTAATTTTCAATAATTAATAACTATTTTAGGGAAATTTCGATTAATTTCAAATTTTAGATTTGATTTTTCAGGTGCTGTAGCTGAACGTGCTAAACTCAAATCATATATTTTACTTGGATGTATCGTAATTCTAATACAAGCATTACCTTCACATTGGGTGTGGGACAGTCAAGGAGTCTTCTTCAAATTAGGCGTCGTTGATTTTGCTGGCTGCTCATGTGTAAATTATTATTATGTTACTATTAAATTTAAAAAAACAACAATATAAATTGTATTATCAAAATAATCGATAATGCAGAATACATCGATTTGACGTAAATCTCGTAACGCACAAAATGAATGCACGCACAAAATATATCATTTTTACGTAAATCACGTAGTAATCATATGCAAATACTTTGCATAATATTTGAAATTTTTCCGAGTACGATAAAAAAGAAAGTATGGATTCATGAAAAGTATGGTTGAAAATGTAACAAGGATGGATTGTCAAATATCACTAAACTTTGTGCATTAAACTTGAACCAATTAACGCACTGCGCTCTTACTTCGGTTCTTGCGTACAAAAGATGCCATGAAGGTGAGAAATCATTAAATTTCAGATTCATATGGTTGGTGGCATCATTGGATTAGTGGCTACCATTTATTTAAAGCCACGTCGAAATCGATTTAATGAAAATTCGGTGCATCAAATGAGTTCACCAACAAATGCGCTTCTTGGAACCTTTATGCTTTGGTGGGGTTGGTTTGGAATCAATTCTGGATCAGCTTGTGGTGTAACAAATGGTCGTTGGAGACTTGCAGCTAGGTTAGACTGTATTTAGCACTTGTCGAGGAGATATTATTAAAACTTCAACCATTAAGTTTACCTTCGGAAATGATAGCATATTTCCCGATATCTTTCCGGAAAAATATCGGACCATAGGAATATATGAATTATGCAAGTATTGGTAACACTTCTGCACTTTTTCCCATAAGCTAGGCGGCTTAGGTTTAATGCATCTCTTCTTCAATTTAGATTTTAAAGTTTAGTTTTAGGAAAATACTAAATATTTTTCATAGAGAAGTGAAAGAAATGGAATTTAAGCAAGTTAAGTTAATTGTCACACACAAAAAAAAAAAAGAAATATTTTAGAGCATCAGTGGCGACAATTATGAGCTCAATAGGAGGTGGTGTCACATCAATTACATTCAGTTTTGCTAAAACAAAAAAATTGCAAGTTAATTATCTAATCTTTGGATTACTATCTTCAGTGGTTGCCATTACAGGTAATTTTTCATTCAATTTGCATAAAAATAACCATTCACAATATCTATGCAATGTATTCAGATATCTTAAAATTATCTTAAAATTCAAACTGTCTTAATTAATTTTCAATTTTCACTATTTGTTTGAGTTGAATTGATTATAGTTCAAGGTGATATTTGGTTGACAATGATATTGTGTTAAATGAGAAATTAAAGTTTATTAAAGTGTTCAAAGAAAAAAAATTATATAAAGCAATTGATCAAAAATGTTAAAAGAATGTTATTTGGTTAAATTTATTTCAAGTCGTTTATTCTTCAAAAGAAGAAATTAAAATAAAATTAAAAATTAAAAAAAAAAAGCGAACTAATTTATCTCTTCCAATGCTTTCTACAATGTACTACCTATCTTTTTTTTCTCAAATTTTAACAATTGATAAAAAAAAAGTTCTATTAATTCATTAAAATGACTCATTTCCAAGTTACACTTATATGGATCAAATATCATTAATGAAAGGCTAAATTTTTGAAAAAACTCATTTTCATACAGCAATTTGCGCCGTTGCACGACCATGGCATGCATTATTGATCGGTGCAATCAGTTCAACTATTTCCATCTCAGTAATACCGGCTCTGGAATTTTTAAAAATTGACGATCCGGTTGGCATTATACCAATTCATCTTACATCATCCATATGGGGTATGTGCGCAGTGGGTATTTTTGCGGAGGATGATCAAGTGTTGGTATGTATAGTTTTATTATCATAATCCTTAGTGATTTGCAAAAACAAAAAGTGTTATCAATTATTATCAAAATTATCTCCCAAAATTCAGGCAGTAACAGGTGGACATTATGGTTTGATATATTCGGGAAGTTTTAAATTGCTTGCAATACAAATGATCTGCACAGTGACTGTCCTGGTCTATAGCGCCATCTTTGGACTTCTTGCTCTAATTGTAAATTTCTTTCAATTTTTCTTTCTTCTCTTCATTTTTATCTTTTCCTAAGTTAATTACATTAATTGCATGACACCGGGATATTTCCGATTATTATATCATTTAAGCCGGAGCACCAATTATCAATTAATTAACCATTCGTTTTTATAGATCTTGGGTAAAAGCCCTCTTGGAATACGGGTTACAGATTACGAGGAACAGATTGGCGCTGATGTCATAGAACATGGTTTAGCTGGCACTAACATTGCTCGATATCATGTTGAAAAGCCTTTATCATCAAAGTTTGTAGAAATACTATATTGATTGATACACCTTGCTAATTGATACATAGAAAATATCACATCAGATTACTTATTTTTGCTAATTAGAGTGTTTGTCATTTTCTCTGCAGAACTTTTGCAACTGTCACAAAAGCAATAACAAAATGGAAACTTCAAACACGTGCTAATCGAGCACTACGTGAACAACATGTTGCACTTGGTTATCGACGAGAACCAGATAATGGTACCATGTTGATTCGACAACGCAAAAGTAAACTTTCTAATGGTGGTAAGTTTTGTGTTTCCAATTAATTCTTCCCTTTTACAAATTGAATAAATGATATTTTATTCTACAATCACTGATATTATTCCTCACTTTCAGGATTCTTATCATTAACTCATCATATTCGATCACGGAATTTGTCTTCACGTGCAAAAATGCCCACTACTCCTACAGTAACACTTTCACCAAACATTTCAAAAGAAGGCAATTTATTACCTCAACAGTTTCGACATTCTGTAACATCGTTTAGAAGAAAAGAAGATGATATAAAATGTGCGAAAATCGGTGAAATGTTATTTACTTTTAAACGACGAATGGACGAAGAAAATGGAAAAGTAAACTTTAAATAGCTAATGGCTTTTATGTAATGAATTTAGAGCTAATAGAAGAAAGAAAATGCATTGATGTGATAATGATTGTCATTGATGTGATAGTGATTGTCATTGATGTGATAGTGATTGTCATTGATGTGATAGT